TACTTTTAGCTATGCTGCATTCGCTAGCCTTTAAATACTTTTAGCTACCGTGGAATGAATGCATACAACTGAACAGACTTTAAACTGCAGTTGTGAATTTCTCTTTAAGTTTCTGAAAAACAAACCACCCCTGAGTATCTGCTGCCTGTCTGAGAATTTTTACTTTTCTTTTGAAAACCTGTCCAACAACTCGTTGAACATGTTTTCAAAAGGTCAAACTATAATTTAGCTGACAGAAAATGTGTCAGATGTGAACTATTTTAAAAACTGATCACTGGCTGAAAACCAGAGAAAACAGGTTTTATCACAAAGGCTGGACGCGCTTCATGAATCTTATCCTTCGAGGCTGGAAAATTCAAATTTTACTGCTTTGGAAAAAGTTTAAAAGACGTGAAAAACTGCACTTTAAAATGATCAAATGTTTGCAGAAACAAATACATTAATACGTGTCTGTCTCAAACTAAAATGTGCAGACCAAATTTCTACATTTGTATTAATAAAATAAATTACTGGTGATAAAAATGCAAAACATTAAGCAGTGTTTTTCTAAAGGCTTCCTTCCTTTCTTAGATAAATAACATTAATAATTGATTTTTATGTATGTAAATGTTTCTGTTCAGTGTTCTGACACAACTTCTGTTGTGATTTGGCACCAAATAAATAAACTGAATTGAATTAAAGCAGTCCTGGTTTGATGTTAGACTCTCAGCTACTACCACACCAAATTGTATCACAATATGCACAAAAACGCTGAATTTCATCCAATTTTTCTGTTTTTTAAGGTCAGAAGTATGCATACATTAATCAGTTGTAGATGTACATCCAGTGATTATTTTGTGAAAGTTGAATTAAATCCGTCCAGTGGTTCTTTAGATATTTTGCTAACAGGCAAACACACAAAGATATGGGCAAAATCATCAGTTGAATCTGAAAATACTTTCTGTAACTAGTGGTAAGTTTGTTTTTGGCGCCACCTAGTGGACTTCTAGGTTTTGCTCCGTGAAAAAGTGTTTTTTGTTTGTTTTTTTAGAGGTTTGTCAGGATGTTTATTTGAAAAACAGGAGGAGGAGGAACACTCAAAGTAATTTATGTAAGAAACAGGACCTGGTTGCTCATCCTTCAGACAAAGATAGGGTCAGGAACCCTCCACAGGTCCCCAAACATCAACTTTGTGCCCCTAAAATGACATACAATATTAACATTTATATTCCCAGTAAGTGTTACCAGAGTAGAACTGTTTTGTGGTCTTTATTGGAATGTTTGCAAACTTTAATAAAAAAAAAAAAAGATCAAGTGTTTAATGCTTTGTGGGTTGGAAGCTGAATTTTGATCCTCGACTGGATGACAAGTTTTTAGTAAAGAGCTCTTCGAAACGTTCTGCTGATTTCTTCCAACACTTTTCGGAAATTAAATAATAATAAATAAAAAAAACAAGGAATAAAGTGTGTTTTTGTGACTGAAAGTCGGAAATCAAGAGCCCAAACATCCATTGTAACAGTTTTTTTAATAAACATCACTTTGTCACTTTTTGAGTTTGAGCATTTTGTTTCTGCCAGAATGTTTATTAGATCAGAATCACAGAGACCGGCTGCGATTTGAGCTCGGCCCTGCTGCAGAATTAGACTATAAACAAAAACATTGCTCTGAATATTTTCAGTCACAAAGAATGGAGGGGAAATAAGAAATATGGACAGGAAAACATGTTTTAAAAACTCATAGAAAACACAAAGATTAAAGTAAACTTTTATTACATGGAGGCAACATATTAAAAAAAGTAAAGGTGTAGTAATAATTGAAGGAATCGCCCATTGCACCCATCGGTTAATGATGACAAGATATGTAGTCTCACGTGTTTGGATCTAACCCGGTCACAAAGATTATGCAAGATCCATTAGAGCTTACAGTATGTTCAGTATGGGATGACTCTCAGCTACTACCACACCAAACTTTAGCTCAGCATCTGTAGAAGTGACTGAAGTTTAGTCTAGTAAGACGGGTAACAAAGGCTTTTTAATTACTTTACTGAGACTGAACAAAGAAAGAGCCTGATCATTAGATTTAATCACATTTTCCCAGTTTAATCCTGTAAATACCAGCAGTGTGTGATGAACACAGGTTTGTTAAATGTTGTTTTATAAAAACAAAACAACCATCTGTCCTCCGCAGGAGAAAAGCTCCCATCATTTGAAGAGTTTGAGCTTCCGCAGCAGCGGCTGCACCGTCTCTTTGTGGCAGGGCTTCAGGGCCAAACACGTCGGCATGTTCTCCGGCTGCTCGACCCACACTTTGTGGGCCACGCCGGCCTCCGTGAGGCGCTCCGACAGGCCGGAGAGGGCGGCTTCGTCCGGGGCCTGGAGACCGGAAACAACCGCTCAGCTCAAGGCTACAAACAGCCAGGAGGCTCGGACATCTTTCTTTATTTTAATCATCAAATAAACGCCTGTAAATGACAGCGAGCTTACCCCCAGCACCACCTTGTGCATGGAGTCCAGCTCCGCCAGGTACCGCTGGGTGTCCGGGTCTCCGTAGTGCAGGTGGATGGCGGCGGTGGCGGCGTGGCAGGCCTGCGTGATCACGGCCCCCAAGGGCCACGACAGCTCGTGGACCAGATCCGAACGGACCACCACGTACTGGACGAGCCGGCTCGAAATCCCGGCATTTGGAGCCGCCATCTTTAGACCAAAACGGAAGTGATTTTGGTTTATTTATTTTCCGGGTCGAAATAATGACGTTTAAAATCTGCGACACCGCCCTCTAGCGGTGAGCCGTGAGCGGTGCACGACGAAACGTCACGTCAAATGATTCAATTAAAAAACAATAAAAAAAAATCTTTAAATTAGTTCAAATAAATCAGGAAAAAAAGTGTTTCTCATAGAGATTAAATCGAGTTTAAAATTCAAAATCATTAATGAAAGACCTAAAACGCTCAGTTTTATTAGTTGACTAAAATCATTACACATTTTTTTTTATTTGTTATTTTATGGATACTATTTACCTGCACCTTCAAAGAAAATTGCACCATGAGAAATAGAAATGAAAGAAACTCAATGCAATGTATGGAATTTAACATAAAATGTCCTCAACTATTTCAAACGATGCAGCTTGAAATAGTTCACTCCTGTTTCCCAGTGACATTTACAACTTGAAATGTGGGTATGCACTCAATGTAAACAAAGCCCTTTTATCTGCATATTTAACTCGGTGAATCTGAGCATAAACGCATATTGATACATTCAAATATAAGACTTCCTGATCCAAATGGCTCTTATCTCGGCAGCCTGTTTTCAGTCACTTTGATTCTTTTTGTGGGAAAACAAACACACGGGTTAGTTTGAAGCTGTTCACAAATATTGCTTCCTTTTATTTTATTTTAAGGTTACATCAATATTGGAACAAAAAAGTGCATATTTTATTACTTTGTAAAATGTTTAGAGCTGGTTTTCATGCCATTGTGATGATGTAAAAAACTACATTCTTATTTTTCGGGAAATAAAAAGCTTCTTTTGAAGACTTAAACATCTCTAAAGTGTGATGCACTTTAAAGGAAGTACCGAGGTAGAAAGGTAACTTTTTATTTCCTGTGTATTGTTATTGTTAAAGCGTTTTTCATCAGCATTCACGTTGTTAAAAAAAAAAAAAAAGTTGCCAACAGACTCAGTTGTGCTGAAGGTTCGTTGCTTCAAACCGTTAAATGTTTACTTCGAACCAAAACTCAAACTGTGAATTTTTATATTTCTACAAAGTTTGATGTTGGAGATATGAGAAGCTAAACAGACCCTTTGAGTCCTGGTTTAGCTAAAATACACCTGAACCTGTTGAAACTGTGCACTCGATGTATTCTGGTGGGATTCAAGCGAAGACACATCGGGGGAAAGAAGACAAAAATCTCTACGTTTCATTGATTAATTTGTGTTTTTACAATAAATAAATGAACATTAATAATAAAGTAGGACTAACTCAAAAGTTAGTGTTGCAAAACAGTCAAATCTTGTGGTAAAGTCTGTACAAATCAAACTTAAACTGGGATTGTAGGAAAACCATAAAATATGTAAAATTACCATTTAAAGTCCAACTTTCAGTGGAGATCGTCTGAGCTGCAGAACTCCAAACAAGGCTGGACTGTTTCACCAAAATCCCATCAAGTTCCTTCTAGTTCCTCACATTTTCTTGCAAATTTTGACAAAGCGGACGACACGGTGGTTCAGTTGGTAGAGCTGTTGCCTCTCAGCGAGGTCGCCAGGTCTATTCCTGGTCGAGAGCCTTTCTGGGTGGAGTTTGCATGTTCTCTCCGTGCATGCGTGGGTTTTCTCCAGGTACTCCAGTTTCCTCCCACAGACCAAACGCATGTTAGACTGACTGGTAACTCTGAATTGTTTCCATTTGTCTCGTTTGTCTCTGTGTCCCTGTGATGGACTTGGACATGTCCAGGTGTCCCCTGCCTCTCACAGTGACTGAAGTGGGTACAGATAATGGATTGAATATTCCAGATGTAGCTGCACAGGTGTACAATTTGCACGTTTCATTCAAAGCTGCATGACAAGGATAATATTTTAACTGGAAGGCATTGAAGCGCCCATTAAAACATTTTTATTACATTTTAATCTACAAAAAGTGCTTCAAATGACTTAAATATCTGTTGAATTTTAAAAACTTTTCAGAATATTTGAGGTGAAATAAAACAGCAAGATGTGCAAAACGTATATTAACACAACAAAAGTCAAACGTTTGACTTGGGGGGGGTGGGGGGGGGATTGAAATGATTGACAAGCAAACGCAATGAAATGTCACAATAATTCTTTATTAAGCATACACGTTATATTATAAATATAAAATGCTATTTTTGTTTTTAAAATCAGTGAGACATCATTATATCTGTGTTGAGACAGACGACCATACAAACAGGTTTTAATTTTCTACCAAAGTCTGCCGCAACGGACCGACGCTGATGGTGCCGCCCTTAAACCAGAGCCCGCCAGAGGAGCTGCGCTGCTCTAGGATCAGATCCACGGAAATGAATGAGGAGGTCAGCTGGTCTCAGATCAGCCCTCCTATAGTCTAAGATGCCGTGTGCTGTAGACCCACGTACAGAGAGCACAAAAACCTACCGCTTAGTTCTTTATAGACAATTAGATCTGACTTTACTCCAACTGTGGCGTTTAGGAGCGTGTAGACGCGCCGCTCGTTGCTTCCTACTCCCAAAACGAAAACTGCAACAGAAGTGACGGAGTCATGAAACGAAAAGAAACATCGAACAAACTGACGGTCATCGTCACTGTACTAAGAGAGCAACTCGTCCACAGTGAAACAATCAGATTAATCGAACAATCAAACTAGATCAGCGGTGAACTTTGACCCCAGGATCGGGTTCAGTTTGGTTTCCTTTCAGTCAACGACAGGAAGCGAATCCTCCTTCGGTGAAAACGAATGACATCAGGCTCTGGGCGCTTCATCGACGAGTCGATGAGATTTAATCTACAAGCCGCAACAATTCCAGCTTCGGTTGACTGAATCCAAAACCAGCTGAGCCCCAAACCTGTTCATGACAATAAATAACAAATAGTTTCAACATTATTTTCTGATTATTATTTTTTTTTTCCCGTTTTTTTTTTTTTTTTTGTTCCAAGTTTGGTTGACATGCTGAATCCTCGAGTCTGGAAGCTTGTGGTCAATCAGAAGGAAAAGTACTGGGCGAACCACTCCTGGCGCTGGGCGTCTGTGGCGTCGATGGCGGAGTCCTTCGTTTCAGGAGGGCTTCAGGAGGAGAACCAAAACGACAAGGTTACACGACGACACGCCCAACAGGAAGTCACAGTACAAAGTTTGACCCGCTACACAAAACAAAAAATAACACCTGAAAGACGCGGCTCTGCTGCCCTCACATGCAAATTCATTTAAGGTGGTCCAGTTTGTCACTGAGCTGAGTCGTTGGCGACCAGCACTGATGAGGGACTCGCCCAGATCTCTGCAGAATGTCTCTCAGGCGAACACGCTTAAGAAACTTTACTACTGAAATAGTCTCAAAGTTCTCCCAACTCGTCTGAAGCTGTATTTAGACGCCTGAACAGCAGCTCTGCTCTGACAGAACAAAAGTCCAGGTCTATAAACCTCTGCTGATGATAAATAATAATTAGTCTGACAGGAACCACAGATTAAAATGAGTCTGCACGGCTAAACCGGACCCTTTCACACAATGTGTTTCGGCTGTACTCGTGTTTAATTGAAGTGCATTGTCACTCGTTTGTAAATAAACAAAGCTAAAAATGTCAGCTTTAATTTTAAAAGTCTCATCTTGCAGATTAAATCATAAACGTGGGGATGGCTGCCATAATGTGCAAGAATGCAGCTTTACAAGCCGTGGATATAAAGACTAGAGTCCGACGATATATTGGCAGGGTCGATATTTTAGGCCGATGTGGGCGTCCATAATGCGCCGATATAAACATTTCTAATTTTTACCCCTAAATTGCTGGGAATGAGCAATGTCCTTACTTGCAAATATTGTAATTGTACAATGTATCCAGCAGAGGGCGAATGTGGACTACGTTCAAGTCATGGTCATGCTGCTCACTTCAGCAAAGCTGAAGCAACAAGCAATGCTTTGTAACATATCTTGCTGAACAGAGCATGGCAAGTTTATCTGGAGTTATTATTATTATTATTATTATTTGGAGTTGGTGGAAATCTGGATTGTTGGAAAATTTGAAAACATCAGCAGCTGTTCAAGCTGTCTGGAATGTGTGTGCCGGACTCAGACTGTGTTCAAACGATCTGTGGACCTGTATCAGAGCTGAGCAGGCAGGACTGTGGAACTCTGTGGCAGTGTTCACGGACAGTTGGAAGGAAGTGATCTTGGAGAAGTTGGAAGTCCGACTTCGGCGTTAGTAATCACAATTCGGCTGTTTGGAGTCGCCATGAGATGAACTAGTGAAACTGTAAAAGGCAGATGAAGAAATCAGCCTAACCTCAAACAATGTTGAAATCTGAATCTGGCTCTGGCCTTGGAAGGCTGACTATCTCAATTTCTCCTTGGATGTTATGGAAACGATGCTCTGATCCCATCCTACACCTCCTTGGGTCAGGTCTGGGGCTGGTCTGGGTCTGGGTCAGGGTTTAGGTCAGGTCTGGGGCTGGTCTGGGTCAGGTTTAGGTCAGGTTTGGGTCAGATTTAAGTCAGGTTTGGGTCAGGTTTGTGTCAGGTATTGTTCAGGTTCTGGTCAGTCCAGGGTCAAGTCTGGGTCAGGTCTTGATCAGGTTTGGGTCAGGTTTAGGTCAGGTTTAGGTCAGGTTTGGGTCAGGTCTGGGTCAGGTTTAGGTCAGGTCTGGGGCTGGTCTGGGTCAGGTTTATGTCAGGTCTGGGGCTGGTCTGGGTCAGGTTTAGGTCAGGTTCGGGTCAGGTCTGGGGCTGGTCTGGGTCAGGTTCAGGTCAGGTCTGGGGCTGGTCTGGGTCAGGTTTAGGTCAGGTCTG